TATTCCAGCTATATGGCGGCGGTCTGTAAATAATCGAGTCTGGACCAGACAGTCCAGTGATCAACAGCATGAGCATCGATCTGCGCAATTAGGAACCGATGACATGTGTCAACCAAGTCAGCGAGACTGACCACCCGATCCCGTCGGTCAATGAAGCATTATTGTAAGCATATATCATTAAAGCATCATAGGTATGTATGACTCATCTATGACGCTAACATCTATGGATGGAGACTAAAGACGTCACATGTCGTGGCTATGGTTACATGTCTACGGACCAACCACGCTCCCTCTACAACTAGCCTACATTTGCCCTCAAGCACAAACATGTGTCTACTTTGTCATCGTCTACGTCACGTGACTGTCATCAATTGTCACTGTCTTTATTGTTGGCTACAATTCCGTTATGTGTTTGATAGCCAAACATAGTCAAAATTGGAGGTCGTTTCAATATAACGTACTTATACGTGTCTTGCAAGTTTAAAGATTAAAGTGTTTCATATTTTTACACAAAGTGGAAAACGTTTAATGCTGTTTGTATTTCAGCGAGTATGAATAAGAATCATGTAAGAGGTCCCATGGTGTAATGGTTAGCACTCTGGACTTTGAATCCAGCGATCCGAGTTCAAATCTCGGTGGGACCTTGTTTTAAAATGTCGTAACATTTTCGATATGTTCAGTGCATACGTACAAACATAATATAATATGCACGGTTTCAAGTAATAAAAATATTTTGGCAGAATACAGTAAATTTTCGGAACGTTTTATACAAATTTCTAAAAGCATATACAGAATGATGTCAATATGCATGGGCGACCTGAACCATGGTTAACTTAACTAGGTCATGATGTTGATCACTGGATTGTCTGGTCCAGACTCGATTATTTACAGACCGCCGCCATTGCGTTAAACAACAAACCAAAAACCAAATTTCCCCAGGGGTTGGGGGAGCTGGTTAAATAGTTTGAACCTACATGAGTGAGTTCGGTTTTACGCCACATTAACCAATATTCCAGCAATATCACGGTGGGCGACACTATAAATGGGCTATATATATGGTAATCAGCTTACTTGTGGCATTATGTGTATCTGGTTATCATAACATGCGGTGGCCAAGTGATTAAAGCGTTCGCTCGTCCCACCGAACGTCCAGTGTCAATGCCCTTACAATCAGCCTTAAAACCTCTCAGGTATTACAATAAAAGTTCCAATAACAACACATATTTTGAACACCGGGTGTCAATCAAAGTGTTCTACCATTTCTCTCTTTCAGCTGCAGTCATAAATCATTCAGTGAAGGCGATATTACAGTGAGTAACTATACGAGGGGCAGAGCAAGAAGGAACATCTACTGTAACAGCAAAGTAATTACAACAATGTCTAACACGTAACATATGTTATATTTGGAATTACACTTTCTTCCAAATATAACATATTACATTTGACCACTTTCTAAATAGCATTGCGCAATCAATGTCTAACACATTGGCTAAAACAAAGTCATGTGACAGAGGCGAATATGAGCTGGTTAGGTAAATAGGGCTTAACGTCGAGTTCAAAATTATTGCCCAGGCGCACCGTATACGTGTGTGTCTGTGTGTGCGTGCGTGAGTGTGTGTGTGTGTGCGTGCGTGCGTGCGTGCGTGCGTGCGTGTGTGACTTAATAGATAATGAGATACCACATAGCAGTTTGGTATGGTATCCCTTTCAGACCAAGATTACCAACCCAGACCCAGTCTTTGTTTTATGCAGGCTGGGCAACAACAAGTACCACCCTTTAACATCTTTCGTTAAGATGTGACCAGAGAATATCGAATACATTTGACTGTCCGAGCAGATGCCGTATCAACTTGTCCACAGAATTCATAGATGTGGATACTAACATAGATATGCTGATATCATTTCCGAGACATTAAAACACAACCATGCTGCTGGAATACAGCATATAGTCTGCACTGAGAATATGAGAACCCTGCAGAAAGCTCTTGTCTGCCAACTCCAACCACGTGTCAATAGGGTTGTAAAGGCCGGTGATGTGCTCCCCTCTATACACGTGGTAATCTGCTGCAATCCAATTACATCCTGCAAATTGAGGGCCCCTCATCACCAACAAAGGAAAGGAATAAGGGAATAATGTGGTGACATTGAGACGAGAGCTTCTATTGTTGGGGTGTGTGTGATACTCAGGGTCCAGTAGATGACAAATAGCTGGAATTGGATGTTGGATGGGGTCAGTGTTGTAATTGATGGCCCTAGCTACTTAGTACCGCATCATGCTAATGCAAGGCAGATTCGATTAGCGGCGTTCATCATAACAAATTTGTATCTCCGGACAACGAAATGCCAGCACGATGGCCACAAGTCTCGTGCTATAGCAACATATACATGGATGTATAAATCGACTGGTATAGAAGCAGATGGCCGAGTAATCAGACAGGGTCTGCATTTCTTAGCTGTCTGATAGTAAAGCCTACTTAGCATGGACTCATTAAACCCCAAATCCTATCTGCAAATGGAAGCAGCACATAGAATGCTTGATGGAATATATAAACGATCGTCAATCTGATATTCGGGCGAGTGAATAAATGGAACGTAAATGTCCCTCGTTCTCATATGCAAACGTTCTTTTTGACGTAAACAAATGCATAGAATCGAAAAACACCCATCCCAAGGTCGCCGGATACCGAACTCGGAGCTCCCTGAGAATATAATGTCCATTGCAGTGATAACATTTTCGGTGCACCATATATGGCAGTGTGTAGCAGGGGTAGCTATCTGCAAACACGTGGTCTCTCACTCATGTATACAATTATACAAGTGGGTATTCCACACTGTGGTGTGACCTTATGCAACAACTTGAACTGCTAAACTGACATACATAGAGAATCTCATCCAAGTGTCTTCTGATATCAAATATATCAACGCGAGTTGATTAAAGTTACAAACATCCGAGGCTTGCCGAGGTTATTTTTACGTTAACCAACGAGTGTTGATATATTTGATATCAGACGACACGAGGGTGAGGTTATATTTATCATCAAAAACATTCTTCATCAGTTATCAGTAAAAGAATGAATTTATCTGAACGCAAAACTGCCATTGGGCTTCTTGAGCAGTGATCTCAGTGATCTCAGTGAGGTTATAGCATCAGCTGACGTCATCAGCTTAACATTGTGATGTCATCAACTTTGTGACGTCATAGCATTGTCGGCTGTGTTATTAGTGATGTCAAAGCATTGTGAGGTCATAACTGATGATGTAATAGCATTATGACTGTTCAGTTGTTGCGATATCTACAATGTAATCTACTATGTAGATATCGCTTGTAGATATCGCTAGATCTCCCACAAGCGATATCTACTGTGGGAGCCAGTTCTGGTTGATAATATGGTTTAGAACTTGACACAACTAAACACCGAAATTGTAATGTTATGCCTAACACTAAGCACTAAAATATTATCCTGTAACTAATACGTGACACTGCTAAACACATGTAATATTTCACACTACAGAGTACAGAAACACAAATATGTGATTCATTACATTACTACACACCAAAATAGTAATACGTAATACTACACAATGCTAAGCAATTGATTGACGAATTATGTATTTATCGTTTTTTAACGCCGCACTCAGCAATATTCCAGCTGTATGGCGGCGGTCTGTAAATAATCCAGTGATCAAAAGCGTAAGCGGCATCATTCTAAGCAATTGGGATACGATGACATGTGTCAACCAACCAACAACAATCTCGTTGGTCGACTCCCACGACAAGCATAGGTTACCGATGCCCAATTCTAACCCGGATCTTCACGGGCTCAATACTAAACAATACTTGACATGACTCAACAAGAACATGTTTATTAATAATACGGGACACTAATCAATACTCATAAGTATTATGTAGTATTTGATATTACTAATACTGAATTACCAATATGCAATACTTGACACTACTAAACACTGAAATATGCATGTGTAATACCCGGCAATAACGAGAGATAACGAGACAATGGTACCTCTTGACACATGGTGGGACAAACTAGCTTCCACCTGAAAGTTTCACCAGCGAGAAACAGTTACCCCAAAGTAAATGAATTGAACTGATTCAACACAGGAATCCTACTCCGACAGGTTCTAAAACACCCCGAGAAACAGGCTTTCCTAAACCTGTAAGGGATACAGGGAACAATCCGTGTGATACAGGTGTTCCCATACTTCAGGAACCTTCACAACAGCAACTATTGTGAACAGGATCTGGAATAATTGAAAAAGGTTTTGACTTCTTCACGAAGCCGATAAGACCTACTTGAGGTAATGAATAGGCATGTTAGGACAAACTGCATTGCCGAGATTGTATTCACTCTGTACTGAGTCGGTCGACCCGAGGACAATGTGTGGGGGGAACGCAGAGGGAACGCAGGGGGAAGAGGACCAGAAAGACCTGTTATTGAATGGAAGTTTGAAGAACTACTAGTTAATGCCATCCAGGAAAATCTGAGCTGTTTGGAGATCAATTAACGGACCTCCCGACGTCAAGAGAAAACAAGGTGGGCCAGATGCAGTCGCATTGTGTTGTTTAAGTCAATACATAGTCTACTAGAGCCAACATCAAGACCCGGATCAATGGACTCGTCACGTGACATAGTCTCGAAGCTAACATGTTGCCTAGCGCTCATGACTTCCGGCTCAAGTCTCAACTTCCCGTCAGACATCTCCAAAACTTCCGAGCAGTGATACATTACTTTGTCGAATGACTTCTGGATGCAATCCGGCACCTAAGGGTTTTCTTCACTGTATCGGAATTGACATCAAATATGATAAATCGAGCAAGAAATGTATGCTCTGAATATCCTTTGATGGAGAAAGAATACATTGATCGACAATGTTTAACGTTAATGCATCCTAAAATAAGATTGTGTTCAAATTTACTCGGACGCCAATGATGAAAACCTGTGACATATCACTATCAATATAGCAGAAAAGAATGTACTCACCAGATACCTAAAGGATCCTTTTATATCTATAAAGGCGTCGGTTCTGACGTCCTGGTACGCATTCCGGTATTTGGAAAAAGGTCCATCCACTATCCGTAGGCTGCCTTTTAACTTATCAGATCTGTATATCACTGTAAAATACATAATATAGCTCAGTTATATAAGGTTAGTAGACATTTTGTTAAAGAGCGATTATGTCACGTCTAGATATAGTCACTGTTATTGGTGCCACGAGTGAAACTGGCACATTGGTGTAATTACCGCTTGGCTGAAATACATCATATATCAGATGAGAAAGTGTAATCCATAATATAACATGTGTAATCATATATATGAATAAGAATAAGACTGGGGTTTGACTCACTTGTTACAGTTATATATTATTCCATTAAAGCAGTTTTGATATTTGATTCTTTGATAGATCCCCAAGAGATGATAAAATTTCTTTCAAGAAGAATATAGCAAACGGCGCACTATAACCGACTTAAAAACTTTCTCAACTTGCAGTGACTGTCTTTAACGCCAACTTGACCCAAGTCAACAGTCCTAGCAAGTCCAAGGTCGTTGTTCATTGATAGTGAACAACTGTGTGCGTTGACAACATATAAGGAAACTTTCTGATATATATAGGACAAGGAAACTATTTCTTTCTAACTATGATATGTGAATACTGCTTTCCAGACTGAAATGTTTGCAAATGACAACACGGCTTTAAAACTTACCAGGAGAGGAGGTGGAGCGAATGGGCTGTGACGTCTTGTCTTCCTCTGAAAATATACACAAATTACCGATAAGTTTCAACACTTAGTCAAGTTGTACCTTCACACAAACACTCACAACACGTTATATTTGACTTTAACTATCTTAACTCTATGTTGTTAGGAAAGTATGCTGATGTGTATGTTACCATTTCATTTTGAGCAAGACATGTGAGTGTGTGTGCATGTTTTGAGCAAGGCATGTAAGGTTGTGCATGTTTTGAGCTTGCATGCGAGTGTGTGCATGTTTTGAGCAAGGCATGTGAGTGTGTGCATGTGTTGAGCTTGCGTGTGAGTGTGTGCATGTTTTGAACAAGGCATGTGAGTGTGTGCATGTTTTGAGCTTGCGTGTGAGTGTGTCCATGTTTTGCGCAAGGCATGTGAGTGTGTGCATGTTTTGAACTAGGCATGTGAGTGTGTGCATGTTTTGAGCTTGCGTGTGAGTGTGTGCATGTTTTGAGCTTGCGTGTGAGTGTGTGCATGTTTTGAGCTTGCGTGTGAGTGTGTGCATGTTTTGAACAAGGCATGTGAGTGTGTGCATGTTTTGAGCTTGCGTGTGAGTGTGTGCATGTTTTGAGCTTGCGTGTGAGTGTGTGCATGTTTTGAACAAGGCATGTGAGTGTGTGCATGTTTTGAGCTTGCGTGTGAGTGTGTGCATGTTTTGAGCAAGGCATGTGAGTGTGTGCATGTTTTGAGCAAGGCACGTGAGTGTGTGCATGTTTTGAGCAAGGCATGTGAGTGTGTGCATGTTTTGAGCAAGACACGTGAGTGTGTGCATGTATTGAACAAGGCATGTGAGTGTGTGCATGTTTTGAGCAAGGCATGTGTTTTGAACTTATGTGTGAGCGTGTGCATGTGTCTACATGTTAGTGTGTGCACGTATGCTTTTTTTGCGTGCGTATGCATGTGGTTTGCCCTAGTGTGTACATCTGACATATACTTTGACCTTGCCTGTGAGTTTGTGTGCGTGTCTGTTTCAAGCCGGCGTGAGAATGCATGCATGTTTTGGAATAAGCACATATATAGACATTGTCACATATTACTTTGAGATGCTGGGATGAAAGACACGACTGCCTCACTACTTCCATACCAGCAAACCCACATCAACTGGTGTTCAATCAGGTCTTAGAGAAAACGACAACAACTTCATTAACGGTGGGTCTATATTCGTGGAATAAGATCCAATCCTTTCTTGTAATCTATTTCTAGAATCTCATGAGAAGTAATTTAGCTGGATCGAGCAGGCTGCCTCCCATAATAATCCCCGCTGACTCTCGTGAACTTGTGCACATGATATTAGAAAGGTATTGTCAAATTGTGAGGTGTTTAGACGTCTACACCTACATCCGGGAGATCTGATGCTCCATCCCCAGACCAGCAAAAATTTTAAATACACCTTGTTATCCCTAGCTAGGGGGTCGATATAAATATAATCCTGTATGCATTACAGTTTCTGGAACTACTGATATCAATTAATTGCATTTCCAGTCTAGTTAAAACAGTTCTCCCTCTCTGATGACAGACATATTGTGAATGTTAGTATAACATTTCTGTCGTATCTCGCTGGCTTGGTTGACACATGTCATCGGTTCCCAATTGCGCAGATCGATGCTCATGCTGTTGATCACTGGATTGTCTTGTCCAGACTCGATTATTTACAGACCGCCGCCACATAGCTGGAATATTGCTGGGTGCGGCGTAGAACTAACTCACTCACTCACTCTATAGCGAGATCGGTATGCTATAGTGTGAGTATTGTATTCGCGGCCTGTGGAATATTATATGGAGATGTACTGATTATAATTGTTTCTTTCTTTTCCAACATGAAATCATGGCTATGTCACTTAAGTCAGAATGTTTCTTATGAGTGCCGCCATATAGCTGGACTATTGCTGAGTGCGGCGTAAAATAAACTCACTCACTCTTAACCTGTGGAAACGCTTGACTGTCGTATCAAACAACGCCTGCTGTCGTCACTGATGTTCAGTGATCCATTCCTGACACGCATTGCCTGCTTTGCCTTTTACACCCAGAATAATCTTTGTCGGTGGAGAGTCAAGACTGGTTATTGTTTGGCGCTGACGTTAATATTTAGTTAACAAGAAAATGTCCGAGCAGTGAGCTTTTGGGTATGACCCGTTTCGCCATAACGTTGGTGTTCATATTTTCGCCTGCCTAAAATGGCCACATAATTCATCATTATCATTTGAAGACAAAACAGGATCAATTACTTAAATTCTTGGTCCATTTCAAGGTTGAAAATAATGGCCAGCTAATACACGGCATATACATCTCTCCCTTAAGGACGTTGTCTCAGTGAATTGTCAGTATAGCTGGTGGCAAATGGCCACCTCACTCCCGCAATGAGCACTATCACCTTCACTGTCATCCAGTGGTCAGCTCGGACTGCCAATTACAGTCATCACTTCCAGCATGATTCGCACACAAGTGCTTGTACATTACACTGATTCCTATCGACTGCACAAAATACCGCAGTGCTTTCTTCTAATTACATCAGCGTTAAGCTTCGACACTTTTTCTCTCTCTGTCTGTAATTGATTGAGACAGAGTCGATCTCCATACAAGTTCTCGCTGACAAAGGTGTGTTACTTCACAGTCCTGGAGGTAGATGCCACGAAACATGAAACGTCCAGACTTGATGGTGTGCTTGCATCAAGGTACACAGGTGATAAAGACATCCAGGTATGTGTATTCAGGTAGACGGGTGAAATAGAGGTGAGGTGAGGTGAAATTGGGTTTTACGTCGTGCTTGAGAATATTTCGCTCATATGACGACGTGCGGGTGAACTAGACATACAGTTATACATATTCAGGTTGACGGGTGAAATAGACATACAAGTATACATATTCAGGTAGACAAGTGAAATAGACATACAGGTACACATAATCAGATCAGCAGGTGAAATAGACATACAGGTACATACATTCAGATACACAGGCGATTAGACTCATGTACCTACATTCAGGTGGACAGCTGAAGCAGACATACATATACATGTTTTCAAATAAACAGGTAAATAGACATACAGCAAGTAAAAAATCAAGTCTACAGGTGAAGGACATACAGGTACATACTTTCAGGTAGATAGGTAATATAGGCACAAACGTTCACTTATTCAAATCAGCGGGACAAATAGACACACAGGTACATTATATTCAAATACACAGGTGATGTAGACACACATACAAACAGTACAACCAGAAATTATTGGGAATTTAAAGATTGTAATTTTTATTTTTTTCACTCATTACTCACGTGTTAAATGTGAATATTAGCAGAACATAACTCCAGATTCAAAGACAGGTGAACAGTTAGTATTTTGTCAAGTAACCATGGGCAGCAATGCAGGCTTCAATGCGGCGGGGCATACTACTGATCAAAGAAGTTAGAAAGTCGTGGTCCATGCTGTCCCAATATCGGACCACCTCTTCTTTCATTTCAGCAATATTTGTCAGATATTTCTTATTGACAATTTCCTTCATAAGTCCCCAAACATTTTCTATTGGATTTAGGTCAGGGCTATAGCTTGGCCAATCTAATAATGTCATATTTTGGGTCGTTGTCCTGCTGGAAAATCAAAACATTTCCATAGAACACGTGAGCAGATGGAAGTAAATGTCCCTCGACAATATATGTGTACCGCTCACTGTTCATATTCCCTTCAAATACACAGAGGGGCGTTGCCCCTAACACAGATATGCCACCCCACACGTTAAATTTCGGACTGTACTTTGGGCGCTGATACAAAGTTTTTTTCAGTTTGTTTGGTCCAGAATTTCAGTGTATTAGGAAACAGCCACACAGAACTTTCATCTGAGAAAATCACATTGTCCCAGTTAAAATTTCTATGCTGTAAGCACCAGTTCAACCTTCGCTCCTTTTCTTCAGGTTTCATGATCGGTGATGGAATTCCTCGACTTTTCTGACAACCCATTGCATGCAGCTCAGTTCTAATTGTCTCCTTACAGACAGACACAGTTCCTCTATCAATCATATCCAGCCTTAAGTTTTCTAAACTCCTTCGTTTGTTTTTAGAAACAAGAATACCAAGCCGCCTCCTGTCACCGACAGTCAATTATCTGGGCCTACCTGCGCCTCCCTGGTGCTCTATGCCATATCCATTTCCAATATTTTTCAAAACACGATAAACAGTGGAAAAAGGGATGCCTGTTCTACTTGAAATCACTTTAGCTGATCTGATGTCCTTGTTATAATACTCTTATATCAACTTCCTCTTCTCTAAATCATCCATACTGAGGATCACTGAAAATGTCGTCTGCTAGCAAGTAAACAAAGGGGGATAACTCTTCACAAACTAATGAAAAAGGATTAACGGAGTTGTCTCTCTTGAATGAAACCAAGCACTTGATAGCTGGTCAACGTTGGTTATACTAGAAATCCAATTAAACATATTCCTAAAATTCTCAATAATTTCTGGTCATACTATATATTCAGGTGGACAGGTGAGAACGAAATACAGGTATATCTATCCCAATGGACAGGTTAAATAAACATACAGATTCGAACAATTCCAAATGACGGATGGCCAACGAAATAGATCAAGCAAACAGGTGAAAAAGACGAGCAGGTATATGGATTCGGGCGATAGTCACACAGGTACATACATTCAGGAACACAGAAGAAATCATACAGGTTTCACGCTTGAGTGACTGCGATAAAAGAGTATATAACAGTGCCGTGACATCAAGGGGGAATCACGTGGTATAGGAGTGCCGTGACATCAAGGGGGAATCACGTGGTATAGGAGTGCCGTGACATCAAGGGGGAAAAACGTGGTATAGGAGTGCCGTGACATCAAGGGGGAAACACGTGGTAGGTATGCAAAAAGTTATTACAAAAGTGAAAAATACGAGCACACCCATTTGGATTCGACTGCATTCGACCATCAAATGATTTGAATGTTCAGGTGGCAGCTCTAGTAATTGTTCATTAGTGAGCATACGTAGCAGGCTTGTAGAGCTTAAGC